GACGCGTTATCGCGTAGACCTGACTATGAGCTTGCTCATGTTACGACCCTGTCGTCGTCAGTCCCTGACTTAATTCGTGCGGCATATGCCAAGGATGAACAGTGTGTAGCTTTGCTACGGGCTCTTGGGAGCGATGAGTTTAAAGACTCGGACATAGAATTGTCGGCACGTTTACGTGCGAGGCTACATCGATATTCCATCGATAATGGCCTGTTGTGCTATCGCACGGATATTGAGGACAACCCTAGTATCGTAGTACCTCATGATGAGGAATTAAAGTATCGGATCCTCTATGAGGCACATGATACTGCTTTAAGTGGTCATATAGGTCGTGAGAAGACCTACAGCTCGGTGAGCCATTATTGGTGGCCCAAACTGTATAAATGGGTGAGACCTATGTGCGTACGTGTGAAACGTGTCAAAGGGTGAAACCCTCGGCACATGCGGCGGCGCCGCTGGCTAGTTTGCCGGTACCCAGTGGTTGTTGGGAGTCCATTAGTATGGACTTTGTGTTTGGCCTACCGCGTGATGCGGCAGGCAACACTGGGATTGTGGTCTTTGTTGACCGATTGAGCAAGATGGCTCACTTAGCGGCAGTGCCGGACTCCATTGATGGAGAAGGAACAGCAAAGCTGTTTATGGATCGTGTATTTAGACAACACGGATTGCCTGTGGCAATCGTCTCTGATAGAGACCCCCGTTTCACGGGTAAGTTTTGGAAGTCTATCTTCAAGGTGCTTGGCACTCGGTTGGACATGTCCACAGCGGATCATCCGCAGACCGATGGTCAAACTGAGCGTGTAAACCGCGTCATCAACGACATTTTGCGCAGTATTTGCGCTGATACGCCTAGGCGTTGGAGCTCAATGCTCCCTGTTGTTGAGTTTGCGTTGAATAACGCGGTGCATGCCTCGACAGGCTTTACTCCGTTCTATATAAACGGTCTCACTCACCCTCGCGTTCCGTTAACGCTATCACTACGTGAATCAGGGCTTGGTGGGGGGAGAGGTTGCCGATCGGCTTGCTGATATCAGCCCTGCTACTGTTCAAAAACAGGTAAGCGAGTTTCTCGCAACGCGATTAAATGTCTTAAGACATGTGCGTGACGCAATGGCTGATAGCCAAGATACCCAAAAACAACAAGCTGATGCCAAAGGCAGAAATTGTATTGAACGTTATGAGGTCGGAGACCAAGTACTACTCAATGCTAAAAATCTACCTACAAATGTAGTGTCTGCTGTCTTTAAGACAAAGTTGCGTCCACGCTTTATTGGACCGTTTACGGTCACGGCCAAGAAGGGACTTGCGTATACGCTAAACCTCCCGCGCAAATTGCGCACACATCCAGTGTTCTACGTAGGCTTACTTAAGCCGTACCGGGATCCTTCCCATGTGAACTTGGAGGCGCTTGCGCCGACGACAAGGGCACTGCCCCGAATTGCTGTAGACGAATCAGCAAGTCCAACTGAGCCTCGCTCCGAGTTTGAGCTTGCTCCATCGCCTGAAGGCGGCTTTGCATCGCATCCAGCATGCACTGGGACTTACCCAAGGCCTCTTGAAGACCCTTCACTTCGAGAACCAATTTCTCGTGGGCCTCCACCGGTACACCGGCCGCCACCGACTTTGCTCGATGAGCATGGGTGTCGTCAATTCCATATCGAGAGACTACTGAAACGACGTCGTCGTCAGGGCCAATACCAGTATCTGGTAAAGTGGCGTGGGTACCCTGAGTCTGAAAAACTCATGGGAATTTGAGGTACCCCTTCGGCAAGACTGCCCATATGCTTTGGAGGCTTTTGAGCATCGTGGCCATGGTCATCTCGAGGCCGAGGCCGTTCACCACCACTAGTGGTGCGGGTTGGCGGGTTGTTGGTCACAGACTGACCAGCACTCGCGGCTACCTTAGTAGCCGAAGCATAGCGCGTGCGCTTGTGCAATTGGCCTCTGGCCTTAAGCTTGGCATAATCATACCGAAGCTTGCGTTCGAGACGCACATCCGCCGCATGGGCACTAGCCCTTAGAGCAAAAATGTTGCTGAGGCGACGCACATAGTGCACCCAGTGAACAAAGGCATCGTCTTCTTCACTCGCTGTTTCGCCTGCGAGCAGGAGAATGGGTATACCCTTCATCGGTGGAACTGGTGCACCACGTGCTTGCATGTCAAGGCTTGCCTTGTATTGACTTTGAGTCGTTAGGTGCGGCTCCAGGTACCTCTCACGAAGTGCCTGGCAGCTCACCACCTCCTCAGGAGTCTTAGGCCCATGGCCAATGACCCACGTTGCCAATGTTTGGCCGGCCGCTTGACGCAGACGTTCCTCCACACTGGGTGGGGTGAACACATAATCACGCTGGCGTTCAAGAATTGCAGTCATCTGTGCATAGCGCTGAGCGTTTTCTTCTCTTTGAACAAGCAGTTGTTGTTGCTCATCGAGCGGGTTCGTGATGATAGTCTCATCAGAACCAGATGCTGCATGCTGCGCTGGCGGCGCGCTCGCACCTCCACGTTCAGCGAACGGATTTGGGGTGTTCGAAAGTTGTGCCTCAGGCATCAGTGAGCCGGACGTTGTCCCTGTATCATCGCGGACACTGGTATCGCTACCATAGTCCACCTCCTCCTCTATTCCGAGGTAGTCACACAGAGCCTTTGACTCGTTTGGTGATGAGGACATCGTGCTGGAGCGTACGTTACCGTGAGGTTCACCGTACGCGCACTGTTCTCGCTGAGAACAAGAGTTCGATTGACGTTTTGGCAAACGTCAGTCTGGTGGGGGAGGGTGTAACGGGGTTGCACGAAATCATGGTACTTTGTACCAGAGGTGTTACACACCTGAGGGTTCGCTTCTGTGAAGGTGATATAGAATATCTTATCGGTTTGTAGGGGCTGACGAGTGTCAGCCATTAGATACGAAAGATCTTTGAGTAGGATTAAGATATTCTATAGGCTTTAACAAAAATAAAATCAGTTCCCATTTTGATCTGAAAGACACGTGGCTTGCGAGCCGTCTTGATCGTTGATCTCTGATCACTAAAAGTTAGCGACACCTCCTTGAGGTAGCTACTCTTGAGCACTAAGTGCTGTCGATTCACTGAATCGTTAGGTCCCCTGGAACAGGGATCTGAAGCTATAAAGCTTGTTGACTCGTAAAGTCGTTAGTTCTTTAGAACTAAGTTGCTCGTAGAGCGTTACGTCTTCCTCTGACTTAAGGAGATGTGTAGCTCCGCTACATGGGTTCTCCCCGATTGATAATTTGACCAAAAAGATACCAGACTTAAGCAACATTTTAATCTTCGATTTTAAATTGACCGTCCATTGTGCGACTGCGAACAAGTCATTGGGTGCTTGAAGAAAGCCGACCATCATCATCGGAAGACTGACGAAATGAAGGGATATCGGTATACATTCTGATGAAGCCTATAGTAGTAGTGACACAACATTTGAAGAACATATGAAATCTGACCGACATACCTAGCAACGGTGCAACCACGAAGATAGACGATTTTAACGGTCAGTAAGAGCACCGTGACCAGGATTCCACAAACGAGAAAACGACAAGACCGTCAGGGTAGACACTTGATCCACACGTGACAATATCTAGACGGAACACAGATGTTACCTTAAGTAATGAGGATGCGTTTAACAACCAAATTGACGTGTTCTATGTTGTTTGCGTGCGCGATACGCGGAACTGAGGTGAGGCCGTACGGAGAGACAGAAAAGACATGTGAACCGTGAAAATTAAGGATAAGCTGACAGTCTGGAAGAGAATAGTTTGTGGGCGGTTTTCGTCCTGCCGGAAGTGCATAAATACTGCACAGCAATTGGTTTCTCAGGCTCAGGACAAAAAATGATGCAGATGGGAAGATGGACAATACAAGGTGAGCCTGGTCGTCTGCGGAAACGAGCATTTGTTTGGTATCGACTTCATCCTGACTTTTCCCGCAGTCATAGAGCTTGCGACTATTTAAATCATACTAAAAGTTTCGCGACAATGAAGCGTACCGGTACGACATGGTGACGTTACGAACGCGTACGTCAAAGCTGACTGCTAAAAGTATTTGACATGTACATGAAGCTACCTTTCGCGTTTGTGACTTCATTGTTTTTCAATTAGTCTTGATCGATTTGTGGATGGAAATCGATCAAGCCTAATTGAAAAACAATGAAGTCACAAACGCGAAACAGCGCGTTGCTGCTGCTTAAGAAATCCCTGTAAGTATTAATGCAAGCTGAAAGAATTTGGACCAAGCTGCTTTACAATAATTTAAGCTAAGTTGGACTACAGAAAGTACACATCGGGCATGTGCCTGTACGTAAACCGAACGGACACAAGTGTACAGGTAGTAGTTGTTTGCGTCGATGATTTGCTGGTGACCGTTTTATCGAGCGATGTTGTCGGGCAGCACTTCAAGGTCCTGGATCCCTGGATATCAAGGACATAGGCACTGTGAGCGCGTTCTTTGGACTACAAATTAAGTTGAACGAGCTTGAAGGTTATGTCTTGGATCAGGATGTTACTGGTTGCCTGCTGTGAAAGAACATGCGTTGTCAACCGCGAATGGTTCCCGCACGCCAATTGACCCCGGCTGCAACAAAGTTGACGAAGCGCTGACAACACTGTTGACACCCACCGGCAAATCTAAAGACACGACAGACAACAAAATCTAATTACTCGTCGAATGTCTGCTCTTTATTGCGCGTTGCACTTGACCAGATATCTGTTTTGTGGATCTCCGTGCGACTCGACGGCCACACAAGCCGATGGTAAAGGATTGCAAGATAGCGAAGCGAGTAGAGATATATTTGAAGGATAAAAAGAGCCTGAAGTTGTACATCAGCAGCAAGCAAGGACCAATAGACCTAAAAATGATCGAAATCTAAAATGATGCAGACTTTGCCGCTGACAAGTCGACCGCAATTCGTTACGGTATCCGTGCTTAAGATGGTTGGTACTGTCGTATCATGTTCATGCAAAAATCTGACGAATGTGTCGCTCATCACCATGGCGTATTTATCGCAGCGTGGCACGCAGGTCGTGGGCTTTTGGGTTAAGAATATTGGATGGCGATTGCTAAACATGGACTTGGTCACGCCGATTTCGATGGACAACCAATCTACGACTAACTTGGTGAAGTTGGAGAAGAGCTCGTCAATTGTGAACCACGTGAACATTCGTTTCAAGTTTATCGGCCACTACTCTCAAGCTACGGTGTGTGCCCGAGTTTAAAAAAGTCGGACGACATGATGGAGGACCTTTTGACGAAAGCGTTACCCGTGCTGAGGATTGTAGCGTTGTGTGACCTGTTCATGATACAGACCATTCAGGATGACGCCGAGGAGGATTTTAGAATACGGTACTTCCCACAGGTCTTCGAAGTAGAAGAAGTCAACTGTAAGACCTGTTACAGGCAAAGTTCGACCTCACCTGATTGGTTGTTATGCTGACACCTTGATATGTGGGACACGGAGAGACGGAAGCCACGTCGGGGCGGCAAGGAACTCGAGCTTTTGGGACCAGGTGATGCAAACGGCATGTGGGATTGGCACACAATGACACACGGACTGGACGTGCGCCATCTGCAGCTTGAACAGGTCAAGTTGCAGTGTCGATGAAAATACATCTAGAATAGTGTAAACGAAAGAAGTTAATATTGAATATATGACTTCCACTGTAACATCATCTTGCAAAATGCAAGAAAGACAACTCTCTTTCTACAGTTCCATCCCACGAAGTGACGATCTTGATATCTGGGTTAGGTGCGCTATTGTGAGTCACCCGTCCCAGCTTGTATCCACCAATCATAGTCCTTTCGACTAAACTGCATCGTGTAATATTTGCGCTCCCATCTTTGACTTAGCCAAAAATTTCTTTGCAGCCTCTTCTTAACAAAATATTGGGTAAAAAAAGGTGCCAATCCCGTTGTCTGAACTGCGAATAAAAAGGATGCATACATTCCGAAAAGAGACATATTGAAAACTCTTCAAAGTACGGACATTTTGCAAATGTCAATAGGCGTTTTTGGAAATGCTGCACTATATCATCAAGAAGGTAGGTAAACAGTCACAACTATACTTAGTGCGGTAATGTAAAAGTCACTTGCTTAGTGGATCATTTAGACCATTTATCAGTCAATTTAGCGGTCCAATCGATATTGGAAGCGCGCAATGAGCAGTGAGCTGGACTTCAATTTATATTCTTGAACTGGGTGATAAAAAAAGTGAGGACTTAACATGTTAACGATTAAAAATTTATTGCTTTTTGTCCGAAAGGAGAAGCTAATACTGATTTTGCGCAAGCTAAATGGCAAACTTTTGCACCATAGTTGTCTGCGTGTGCATGTTTTTCTGTCTATCTTTTTGATGGTCTGTAAACAATGAGGCAAGGTGTAGCTAACACGTACTTAGCGCGATCATTCTGTCCCTACCGCATGGGTAGGTTAGCATGACAGGTTCCACTATTTGAATAGGTCACTATTGCGACACACGCACATGATTGGCTTAGAATTGATTAACTATGGAAATGATCACACAAGCAATTGCCGGACTCTCATATGCAAAGGCCAATTGCGTTGTGATAGTCTGCAGTACTGTATTGATAGAGCCATTTACAGCGTTACACTTTTTCTTCAGTAGAAGCTGCTCTTGCATTGTGTTTTAAACATGATTCAGTTCCATAAAACAAATTAATTTTGTCAAAGGGGAGCTCCAGAGCTTGCTTTAGTATCTTTTTTAGGTAAAGGATATTCGCTTATCCACTCTTTGCTATCCACAAACCCCTTATACCAGTATCCATACAGCATTATTGTTGATTGGCTATAAAAGTACGTAGTGTACTGTACTAAAACTACCTCCATGGTACGGGACGGGTTGGACACATTTATTCGAAAGACTATCCGTGTTTAGGTAGCTCCAAGTAGGAGTATTCAAATGGTCTATTTAATCTGGTTGTTCACCTATGTGCAAAGATTTTTTGAACGTCTTAAGCGATGGTTTTACTTTTAAGGAGGATTCGGGATAGATTTTGGGTGAAGCCAGTTTAAACTAGTGCTACACTTGGTTCGTGCTCAGGCATCTCGATGCATGAATACAACATAGCACACAAAATGCAGACATTTCGTCTCGATATTCTCTCTTCGCAATAGGCTATGGGGAACGATGCACAAAGAATAAGTCTTGATGTGCTTTTGAAATCACACCGGTGTGTTTTATATGTAGACAGCCGAATTCCTATCTTTACAGATCTTAGTTTGGCACATCATGGCAAGAATGTTAGAAACGTTTATGCATACTCATACAACACCCAAATTTTATCCAAATATCTGTACGCTAAAATTCTTTTTTCTATATAAAAGGGTAGAATGTGGACTTTTCCGCTTGCATTAGCATGAATCAATTGTTGCAAACGCTGGCGGGATGCTTGTTCCCGGTTCAGTCCGCGACAAGCTCGTCCTAGCGCTGCAGATCTCTATAATCCCGAAACAGATGGCCTATGATTTTTTTACATCGCCACATGCCGGTACTGTTTTGCAACTTTTCCTCGTCTCGCCCAGCATGAAACATGTTGAATTTTCCAGACGAACCTATAGACTTACTTATTTAAAACGCAATTGCTATGATTCAAAGTTGCCGCGGAGATTTCTGGGTAGCCACGCAAGGTGTAGCTCCAGGTATGCAAATGTAAATAATTGGTCATTTTAGCCGTACTCTGCGTAGTCTGGACACGTGGCAAATAAACGTTCTGTATTCACTAACCAAAACACGACAGTATGCTCCCCCAGCATTGCTAAAAGTAACGTCGAACCAAAGTTTTTGAACCTGTCCGGTGGCGGTTGCTCTAGCGCCTGAATTTCGAGATAAAAATGTGTATGATTACCAGTATGAAAGGGTCGTTCGGATAGCAAAAAGTGGGTGTGCGGATAATTGTTCCCCATCTTGTACAGTTTTAATTTGTTCCGCTATCAGACAGGTTTATAATTAGCCTTCCTCTGCACGTACCGTGTACGTGAAGTGGCGCACGGCACTGCTTACACAATGCCTGTAACGGGGTGAATCGTTACATAACAATTTATAAGAAATTGTTAATAGAATATAACTATCAGAGTTATATTATCAGAATATTGTCATAAGGACAATATTCTGTAGCACTTACGAGTAGTTCCTTATTGGTTGATATAGGCCATTATATCAACCAACGAAGACGCGCCACGACAGACGCACGCAATGAGTGGTGAGCAGATAGTTGATATGCACATTTGTATTTAGACACAGTTAGATGAGGATAAACAGGGGGTTTATTACAGACATTAACTATTATAATTACAGTTCTATTTTTTACTTAAACTAAGTACTCGTTTCTTCTACCGTCTTCCTCTGCACGTACCAGTGTACGTGAAGTTCCGAGGCACCGCCTTATTCTGTCATCAGGATAAGTAGCTTGTACTGTTACCAGTACAAGCTTCAAAGTACCCCGTCACACCTGGTAGCACTTTGTAGTCCGTCCAAGGACCACGTTCACATCTAACATGAATATGTTGGACGATGAAGATGACCAGAGCTTTCACGCTACGCGTGACGGCTACTCCCATTTGAGCAACGTCGAAGGGGATGCGGTTGAACGGATGGGTTCAACCATGGGCACTCATGCTGTTAGCGTCATGCTAGAGGCTCTCAATAGAGATGCCCAACATGCTACTATCGCCAAGTTCATTCAAAATGAACTTGACGCAGAACGCGAGAAAGTAGCCTTGCTTTACCAACAAGGTTCTCAACAAGCAGAGTTGTTGAGAAAACAGGGTGCTCAACAGTTTGAACTGTTGAGACAGCAGCAGGCTGCTGCTGGTGGGTCGATGCACTCGCGTCGACCCGAAACCTTGAATATTGACATCTCCAAGTATAGGGGAGTCGAAGAGGACTCCCTCTTGAGATGGTTCGTCGAATTGGATGACGCCATAAGGGCGCGTCGCATCGACGACGGGGATATGCGAGTTGCATTTGCCCAATCAAATCTGGCAGGACGTGCCAAGACTTGGGCACTGGGGCTCAAGTTGCACGACCCATGTGCGTTTGGGTCGTTGGAAGTCTTCAAGTCGCGGCTCAGATAAACGTTTGAACCGCCTAGAGCTGAGTTCAGAGCTCGAACCGAACTCTTGAAGCTCAAACAGGGTAAGCGTGATGTGCATGCTTACGCGCAACATATACGACGTCTCACGAGTTGCATAAGTTCCAACCCGGTGGATGAACACACGTTGGTTTCGGTGTTCATGCAGGGTCTTGCGGGTGGTCCCGTCAAGACTCACCTGTTCCGGCTTGAACTAGATTCACTAGAACAAGCCATTTCCATTGCGGAACAGGAGTACTTCAGTCTGAGACAAGCTCGCGCCAGCTCGACATCGTATCGTCAACCGAGACGATATGACAACGGAGGTCCAGAGCCGATGGAACTCTGTTATGTAGAGAGCGAGAAGGCTCGCTCTACAGACTACAAGAAGTTGCAGAAATGCAACAGATGTCAGAAGACAGGACACTACGCTTACGAGTGTAGTGCCCCTCGTCCAGTGTCTCGCAACACTGGGCGTAGTGACCGTCCACCCATGAGAAAGGGGCAGGGACGCGGGTCCGCTGTTGGTGCAAAGACGCAACAACGGGATGGACCGTCAAAAAACGGACAGGATCAGTAGGTGCGGAGCACCCTACTGGTCCAGCAACGTCAAGAGAATTTGTAGGCCTCTTGATGAAGGTTGCTCCCAACACACAAACGTTGTGCGTTGCTGCTCTAGGTAATGAGGTCTCACTCATTACCTTGAAACTCGAAGTGACAAATAAGTTGTCCCTTCGAGCTCTAGTCGATTGTGGGGCGTCCAACAATTTTGTGCGACGCCAATCGCTAGAAGATGGTCACTTTAAGTTCAGTGAATGTGACACACCTCCTACGAGGATGACGGTACGTCTTGCGACAGGCGCATCCGTAACAGTCATGAAGCGTATAGTGAAGATCCACTATACGCTAGAAGATACCCAATATGACGATGACTTTATCGTATTGGATTTGGATGACAAATTTGATGTCATCCTTGGAATACCGTGGCTCAGAAGGTACGAACCACGAGTAAACTGGCAACATCGAACAGTAACGATGCCTGCCGCTTGTTCATCAGATGGCCATCTGATGAACGTTTTGGAGCGTCCACAAGCGTGTGGATGTACTACGAGTGAGTGCGATGGCCTCACTTGTGGTACGGTCGTTAGTACGACTGCACAAAACCTTAGTGTAACAAACGGTTACACTTCGAAGCAAAGTTCCGGCGGCTGTGAGGAAACACAGGCTGCGCCGAAGGTCCACCACTCGAATAAGTCGAGTGGACCGGGACAAAGATGTATCCCTAGCGGGGAACATCTAGAAGAGAAACAATCGATCGCTCAGGTTAAGCGAAACGATAATCCTAGATAGACTGGAGAGTCTTTCGTAGAGGATCTCGCTGTGGTTGCGCAACCACAGCTAGAGGAAGTTAAGGGAATAAGTCCCGATATTAAAGACAGGGTGGAAATAAGTTCCCCGAAACCCGCGGGCATAAGTCCCAGGGAAGCCGAAGGAATAAGTCCTTCGAGGCCTGAGGGAATAAGTCCCCAGGAAATGACAGAGACATTGAATGTCCTAGTCAATGGCGGATCAAGTGTAGGCGCTTATACACTTGATCTGATTGCGCCTCCGAAGTTGACTTCGGAGATCACTCAGTTGCCAACGCTCGAACATAAAAGGTTCTTGCGTAATCTGCGTAGTGGCAAAGTCAAGCAGATCTGCGTACTCGTCGCTGACGACGAGTGTGTAGCCGACATAAGGTCAGCAACAGTGTTTACTGAGAACGAGAGAGTTCTCAGTAGTTCATCTATGGACGAGAGTGTCCTAGATGAAAAGACACGAGTTGAGCGATATGACTCCCAATCGTGGGAATCGCTCAAGACAAATCCTCTCTATGAAGATTTGGTTGAATTCAAGGATGTATTCCCTGAAACTGTTCCGTGCGAATTACCGAAGGATAAAGGTATTCGACACGAGGTCGAGCTTAAACCAGGCTCGAAGTACTGTGTCATGAAGCAGTGGCCACTGCCTCGTGAACAAGTACTTGCGATCGACAAGTTCTTTGCCGATCGTTTAGCTGCGGGCCATGTGAGGGAATCAACTTCCCCACATAGCTCTCCGACTTTCTATGTGCGAAAAGCAACAGGAGGGTGGCGTATAGTGCATGCATTTAACAAGTTGAATGCTGCAACGGTACCGGCTCAGACGCCGATACCGAGGAAGGACGTAACCATTGATGGTATGTCAAAGAGTACCATCTTTTCGTCCATGGATTTGATGGATGGCTTCTATCAAATCCTTATGCGGGAACGGGATATACCCTATACCGCAGTTAGCACGCCTAGCGGTATGCTCTGGGAATGGCTAGTAATGCCACAATGGCTTAGTAATGCCCCTGCCACGTTCAACAGATGTGTATCACATCTGTTGAGACCAGTACGAGAATTCGCGCCGAGTTAATTTTGATGACGTATTCATCCATAGTCGAGCTATGGATGGAAAGTCGGATGTTGAGGTTCACAGGTACCACGTCCGACAGGTTCTTACAATCATGCGAAAGCATCAATTGTATGCAAACCTCAAGAAGTGTATATTTGCAGCAAGCGAAATACCACTTCTTGGGTGCATCGTTGGTAAGAACGGTGTACGTCCTGATCCCGAAAAGATCAAGGCGATCACCGACTGGCCTGTGCCGGTTGATGTCAAAGGTCTTCGAAAATTCCTTGGGCTAGCGGCGTATTTGCACAAGTATTCACGCAATTATGCCGAGATGACTGTGCACCTCTCTCGTTTGTTGAAAAAGAACGAGAGGTGGTTATGGAACGCTGAATGTCAGTGCTCCTTTGATGGTATCAAGCAGAGCTTGATACAATCCCCAGTCCTAGCAATAGCCGATCAGGACAGTCCATTTCATGCGGTCTGTGATGCCAGCGATTTCGCAATCGGCTGTGCATTAATGCAGTACGATCTTGAAGGCGTTGAACGCGTCGTCTGCTATCAGTCGCGTCAGCTGCAACCAGCTGAGCGGAACTATCCAGTGTATGACAAGGAACTCCTTGACATGAAGTATGCACTCGCGAAGTTCAGAGTATATCTATTAGGAGATAGATCCTTCATTGTTTACACTGACCATGCGTCATTACGCTCGGCAGTAAACAGCCCGCACCTTTCACAACGAATGGCGCGGTGGCTGTCATTCTTTGCAGAATACAACTTTACGGTTGAGTACAAACCAGGACGACTTAATGTCGTCGCTGATGCACTCTCACGTCGTCCCGACTTTGAAACAGTCGCGAAACCCAACAGTGAGACAGTCACTGTTGCGATTATGACGTCCTCAGTCCCATCTACAACGTTGTATGATGATGTGAGGCGGGCATACGCCCAAGATGGTGAGATTGTGAAGTTGTTGACACATCTCTTACAACCATCTCGAGAATCGTTGAAACGATTGTCGTCTGCGTATCGATCTGCATCAGATTGATACACTACTCGCAACGGGTTACTGTATTATACAGCCGTTTCTGGTGACACACCACGTGTTGTCATTCCAGATGATACTGATCTGCGTTTGCGGATCATGTTCGAGTATCACGATGCTCTTATAGGAGGACATCGTGGCCGGGAGAAAACATATCTCAAGGTGAGTCGAGACTTTACTGGCCCCGCCAGTATCAGTTTGTGCGAAAGTATGTTCGCGCATGCGAAGTATGTCAACGAGTGAAGTCAAGTCCTTCACTGCGTGCACCTTTACAGCCTCTACCGGCTCCGGCTGAGTGCTGGGAATCCATCTCAATGGATTTCGTCTTCGGGTTACCCAAAGACGCACGCGGGAATACGGGTATTCTCGTATTTGTTGACAGATTCAGCAAAATTTTACACCTTGTGGCTGTACCAGAGTCAATCACGGCAAGTGGCTGTGCTTGTGTCTTTATTGACACCATCTTCCGACTTCATGGGTTGCCCCGTGAACTCGTATCAGACAGAGATCCACGATTCACTGCTGATTTTCTGGCGTTCCGTGTTCTAATCACTCGGAACGCGCTTGAAGATGTCTACATCTGATCATCTAGAGTCAGGTGGTCAGACAGAACGTGCCAATCGTGTCCTTGAAGAGATTCTTCGAGGCTACGTACACTCCTTTAAGAGTTGGAGTGAGTTCTTGCCCATGGCAGAGTTTGCCATTAACAACTCGGTGCATGCGTCCACGACACATACACCGTTTTACGTGAATGGCTTGCGCCATCCGCGTGTACCCACCTTACTAAAGTGTAACTCTGGTTTAAAGGGGGGAGGGACTCGCGCGAGCAAAAACCGATTTGGTTCACGCTCATCACGCTCTGACGAAGAGGTCATTGCGTTTGATGCCGATATCGAAGAAGATGATGCCAGTGAGAGTGCGGAAGCCCTCACTAAAGAAAAGGTTGATGTTGCTGCAGTGCACTCACAGCGCACTGAAGCTAACGAGTCATCAGATGAGTTCATACTGGCTCGTGAAACGGTAGTCCGTTTTGTGCAAGACTCCATCGCCGAAGCGGTGGATAAGCAAAAGCAAAACGCTGACAAGAATGGAAGGGCAAACACTCTTTTATTTGATAAAGGTAACTTAGTCTTACTGTCTACGGTTAATCTACCAAAGCATGTAGTGACTAACTTGGGTAGCAGTAAACTACTACCCAATTACATCGGCCCATTTCGTGTATTGCACCGCCTAGGCAATGCATACACGATCGAGTTACCACGTAAGATGCGAACGCATCCCACGTTTTACGTTGGTCGGCGTAAGCCGTACCATCAGTACGCTGCTTCTTCCGATGAAGAACGCCCTTGCGCTCAAGCATCTCGCAGAGAGCCTTGTGCTTCCGATGGTGGGCATCGACAAGGGTCTGAAGAGCAGCTATCTCATCCCGAGACCGATCAACAATCCCACGAGTTACCCTTAGCTCGTCACGAAGAGATGTCAGAGACCTCTCGTTCTCAAGCTGAGCAAAGGCAAACTCAGCTCAATGCTTCGAGACAGTGTCCGCCATTTGGAGACGCCTGTCCCGCTCATGTTCGAGATCGCCGCGTAACCCTTGCGTTACGCGATCAAAGAAGCTCTCGGGAACACACCGATCCACATGATCGTGTGGAGAGCGTCTTTCCTCCTCCTCCACCTCTATCAGAGGACTCTCGCGGTGGCCAGCGCTATCTGGTTGAGCGGCTGTTGAACCACCGCGGCGTGAACGGACGTCGGACGAGTTACCTCGTCCGGTGGCGCGGCTATCCCCCGTCCTGGGATACTTGGGAGCCCCGCTCCCAACTGGTGCTCGACGTACTGGGTCTGGTCGAGCAGTACGACGCGGCACATCCTGTGCCGCAGAAGGACCGCCGGAGAAAGTCTTCCCGGCACGGTCATAAAAGGATTTCAGGTTGTCAATCCCTTCGTACATCTCAGTAGAGATACGTACGCGCCACCACAGGCTATTAGGGAGGTAAGCCTCCTTTGGTGCTCGTGCAGAGTTGTTCACACAACATGGGCACAAGTCTCCCCAGGAGAGGCAGTATAATCCACCCTCCTTAGACAGACGATGCAGCTTGTAGCGTGCACCTGTCAGGGTT